AAAAAAAACACTGGGTGGATTTTTATCATTAAAAGGTGGTTGTGTACACACACTGCCAACACACATTTCAGTACAAACAACTTGTAACCTATGACCCCTTTAATGTATGTTTGTTATTATGGGTACACTGTGTTACGGTAAATGTGAAATTGTCCTAGTGTTCGATGAGTAAACTGCATTAAAGTTTCAAATAGAACATTTTTATGTGGCGTTTTACGTGTTACTCAAGTACCCGTCATAAAAAGTTTGAAGAAGCCGCCAAATGAATTGTCTTGAATGGAATAATAAATTTTTAATACCGTCAGCATGTTTCAATCAGGACTGGGCGTTCTTGTTTTCCTAGGACCAAAACTGTGACTTCATATTTTGGCTGTGTGTGGATCATAATTTCTACTGTTGACGGTGGCGTGGTGTCATATTCTCCACCGTTAAGCCTTGAAACATCAACGTATAGCTGAAACATCTCTACACATTACTGTAAAATGCAACTAACCAATCAAATTGAACAGTTTAATAAGGGAAAATGATTGCAGCAAAGGCTGGTGCATTGAATTGTGGGTACGTTACATCAGTGGGTTGGGTTCAGGCCAGGTTTGTGAGGTCTGATGGATCGCGGCGATGGCATTGAGAGCAGTTCTGGTTCTGTGGTCATGTTTGGCTGTGGGATGAGAGCCGGGGAGGCCTGTAGGCAGGACTGATGCCAGTACTGAAGAAAACCAGTGAAGTTGTGTTTCTCTTACTGCCGTGAGCCTCGGCACGGCTGTGCTTTTGGACTTTGTATTTCACTGGTTTTGCACTGACATCTACAGTAAGCCACCAAAACTAGTCCTGCCTCTTAAACGATCATCAGGTTGGAACTTTTCGCTGACATTAACCTCAATTTGTATGTGTGTTTGTATAAGGCAGGTTATACTAAATGCTGATAGCAATAAACTGCCGCAATAAAATTCTCCTGCAGATGATTAAATGTAACTTCCATGCTCGTCATGCACACCGCAGCTAATCTGAACACTCGTCAAATGCATGAATAGGTCATGTTTTTGTGAATGAGCTTAAATCAGTGCAAATATTCAATAATTCTTTTGTCAAAGGCAGCAATTACACATTATTTTATGATGTAAATATGAAAATTATGTATTTGAATATCCAATATTGTAGATAGATAGATGTGTGTGTGTGTGTGTTAATGTGCTATGAATGTGAATATATATACTCATATATATTTATATATGTACAAGAATGTGTGCTATGAATGTGAATATATATACTCATATATATATTTATATATGTTATTTTATGATGTAAATATGAAAATTATGTATTTGAATATCCAATATTGTAGATAGATAGATGTGTGTGTGTGTGTTAATGTGCTATGAATGTGAATATATATACTCATATATATTTATATATGTACAAGAATGTGCTATGAATGTGAATATATATACTCATATATATATTTATATATGTATAAGAATGTGCTATGAATGTGAATATATATACTCATACAGTATATACATATATATATATATAATGCAATATGCATTTTAAAATGCAATATATCTTTGTAAAATTAATGAAGTAAATGTAATGAATTTAATTAGTAAATTTAATGTAGATCTCATTCAGACTTTTGCTTTAAATTCACATTATTAGGGGGAACATAAGGCCCACGTAATGCCTCCCTTACTATACACTAAGTGAATGGGTTTCCCGGGGGATTTCAAGCTGTACACTTGCGAGCCAACAGTGTATGATCACCTTTGACCTTGAAATCAGCCTACTGTCACATTTAACCTGCAATACAACACCCCCAACATTCAGGCTTAGACAAACGCTCATGCAGACGTCATAAAATCAGCCTCAATGCTGAGCAGCAAAATCCCGAATGACATCCGCTTTCTCTGCTTGAGTTTATGACTTTATTGGTTTGTTCAGGGAGGTTTATGAGTCCTCGGGCATATGGCCACATGTACTGTGTACTTAAAGATTTACTCCAGGTACAAGAAGAGCATTGTGACCCACGGAGGAGCTGTCCAGCCAGAAGCTGCTGTGGTAGGGATGGGAATCAGGCCGTGTCGAGGGCGGGCACAGCAGGAAGGAGGTCCAGGGGCTTAGAGGGTCTTTTCACTCTACGGCCCACTGTGAGGAGGGGTGACAGGGCTGGGCTCCGCTCTCTTCCTTTAGGGAAATGGAGCACATTCCTGAATCCAACCTAGAAATGCACAGAAATAATCACAAAGAGGAAAGGAAGAGAGAAAGGGAGGTGGACATCATCTGCCCAACCAATCAAAAATCTCAAAGTTGAATCCAAAGGTCAAAGGTGATGGTATACAGAGACTACACATTCAGACAAGTGTTAACTGTAAAATAAAGGCACATTTTAACTGAAAGCTTGAGCTGATTTTTAGGACAACAGTTTGTTATATATATATATATATACAGTCATGACCAAAAATATCGGCACCCTTGGTAAATATGATCAAAGAAGGCTGTGAAAATTAATCTGCATTGTTAATCCTTTTGATCTTTTATTTTAAAACTTCACAAAAATCTAACCTTTCATTGGATAATAAGAATTTAAAATGGGGGCAAATATCATTATGAAATAAAAGTTTTTCTCAAATACACGTTGGACACAAATATTGGCACCCCTAGAAATTGTTATGAGTAAAATATCTCTGAAGTGTATTCCCATTCATATTCACAATTTTGAGCAATCCAGGGTGATTATGAACATGAAATTATCCAGCCATGACTTCCTGCCCTAATGTACGGTGAGGAGGAGGAGAGTTTGAGTGGCTAAAGACTCTCCAAGGACCACAGCTGGAGAATTGCAGAAAATTGTTGAGTCTCGGGGTCAGAAAACCTTAAAAAAAAATTGCCAAACAGCACCTACATCACCACATGTTGTTTGGGAGGGTTTCAAGAAAAATTATCCTAGCTCATCCAAAAACAAACTCCAGCATATTCAGTTATCAGACATGACTGGAACTTCAAATGGGACTGGCTTCTATGGTCACTATCAAATACCAACAGATAAAAAATCAATAAGTGACTGACTCTTCTGACTGAAATCTTATAATGGGCCATGTTTGGATCTTCCAACCGTAAAATAATCCAAACACAAACCTCAAAAACAACACAAAAATGGGTCACTGGGCACAAAACCAAGCTTCTGCTATTGCCATTCCAGTCCTCTGACCTGAACCCTATAGAAAATGAGTGTGATGAACTGAAGAGGAGAAGCACCATCATGGAGCTGGGAATCTGAAGGGTCTGGAGAGATTCTGGATGAAGGAAT